GGGGGGGGGGGGGGGGGGGATGGGAGCGAAGGCGCACTTTCCGTCCATGCCGGGCTGAACAGTCCCAAGTTTCTCAGAGCTGCCAACCAGCTTATCAAGTGACTTGCCCTTCCCTTTTCATCTTCTGTATTACTCTCAAGCCTGGAGATGAGGGATCCAAAAGTCAATGAACGTTGAGACGAGCCCGCCTCAGTGAACCTTGAGACGAGTCCGCCTCGGTACAGTTCCCCTGACCTAATGGCACAAGTCTTCACAGGTGAGCACCTTTCAAAAGTCTCAAAGTCAATTCCTGATACAAATTTTAAACCAAAAGATCCTTGCAATACCGCAAAGAACTTAAGTGTTTCGTTTTGTAACAGGAATTGACGTTTGAAAGGTGCTCATCTTTGGACCCTTTTTTCATGACACCCTGGTTCGAACCACTCGATTCACATCCCGAGCGAGAAGAGCTCCCTGGCCGGTGCATGGCCGAGGACGATCCACGCCAGATCACAAGCGCGAATTTCACAACGCGGTGTTTTGTTTCGTGGTGCTAAATGAGTGTGCGCTCCCCGGCGAAACGCAGCGCCTCGTCCTTTCCACGACCGGGATTTTACCTCGAACAGAAAAACCTGGTACACAATAAACCTGACTTGTATCTGAAATTCCTACGTATGACCTGGCGTGGGTAGCGGGGGGGGCCGAATTCGTCGCCCCCGCTGTACGGCTTGATGTGGGCATGGGTTTTTGGAAGATCTCACGACATCCGGGTTGCCGTTGTAAAGCCACTTGTAAAGCGGCTTCAGGCGGGGCAAAGTTGCTCACTCTCGTTTCCGCAGAGCTCTAACTCTCAGACAGAGGAGACGGCACTCCCTTCTCTTCTACCATACCATAGATTGGTGAGGCAACGATGTAGAGGCACTCCTAGTTGGCTAATTACTGACTACTTATGAACACTAAGTGGACCTTGCATATCCACTCTCAAAGCATGACTCTCAAACAGTCACTTATCCCTTATCGGGTCGCGGCAGGGAATACCGATCGGGATCGCTGGGCAGGTTTGTGCTCGACAAAATCCCCGGTGAAGAGAGGGGGGTGCATGGTTAGTGCGGGACCTAGGCGCTGTGCGACTGTTCCAAGTACATGAAAACCGTCTTGGCCGAGAGCCTCCTCGGGCGTGTCGTGAGCAACCCGATGCGTGCCAGTGCTTGCGTCTTCTTTTTTTTTACTTCTTTTTTTTAATTGACAGTACGCGACGGGAAACGGGTGCGGTGAGTGTACAGGGGTACCTTGCTCATAAGAAAGCGCCTCCTCCTAGGACCCTACAGTAGGCCTGTGCCTAGAGCCCTATGGTGCTCCTAGGGGGGGTGCGCTTTTTTATGAGCGAGGCACCCCTGTAGGCAACGTTGCATGCAGTCTGATCGCTACAGGCCCCACGAGTCCCAAGGATGATGCCCTTAGAGCCTAGATACCCAAATGCAGGAGGAGCGGAGCGGACTCGGGGTGTGGGTGTTAAGTTACGAGCCTGGGCAATAAGGTTGTGAACCGCCAGTTGCCCGGGCTCGTAACCTGATAGCCACGCGGGGGAGGAGGGCCGGGGTAGACTCGGGTCCGGTGCTGAGCAGAGCTGCTTCTGCTTTCTTCTTTACTAGACTCAAGCCTAGAGATGAGTGATCCAAAAGTCTGTGAGCCTCAAGACGAGCCCGCCTCGGTACAGTAGTAGTTGGTGAGCAGAACAGAAGATAGCGGGTGTGGATGACCCCTGACGCTGGGTGAGGGGTATCAAGATGCGTGAAAGTTTTTGGGGATGATGTGTGCCAACTCGGCGTACAAACGTTGAGATTGAAAACGAAAGAGACTTACAGTTGGGCCCTCTTTACAAAAAAATCAACTTGAACCTCAAAAAAGAGTTATTACTATTTGGTCAACATGGTTTGCATGGCAGCAACCCCCTCGAAACATTAAGTGCCAAAGGGGGACCGACCCTAGAACGCTTTGGGGGGAATTGCGTAGGATGCTAGGATCGTATGACATAGGATCCTAGGATCCTGGGCAATGGGTGCGCGGGGGGGGGGGTCTTTTCCCTCCCCGCGTTAAGCATGGCTTTTCTGCAGAACAAGTTCCGGTGTCCGCCTATGTTTGGAGCTCGAAGAACCTAAAGGACCTAAAGGTTAACAGCTCCCAAAGGCGGGCCCGAGGCCCGAGAAGCGCCGGACCTGCAGGTCCAGCGCCAACATCTCCTGATTCTGCTTCGGGCGAGAGGGCCGTCTGCGTGGACAAAGCACGGTCCAGAGAGAGGTCGACAGGCGGGCGGCATGCCTGTCCTTTGGGTAGTCCCGAGGCGGGCCCGCCCCTAAAGGCCCGCCCCTGAAGGACGGGCCCGCCTAGGTTCTAGAAATTTAAGGCTTATCTGCAAAAATCGCTTTTTCGGAAACGACAAAACTTGAAAAAAGGACAAAAAATGCAAAAAAATGCCACGGCTGTTCAGAATTAAGCCATTCCGATTTTCATCCCCAGGTCCCCCTATGCTCCTACGGATTGCCTACCGTAGGGCGTGAGTCTTGATTTTTTTGGTTATTTTTTTTTACAGCTCTTTCGCTAAATTCTGCCATTTTTGAAACTAGGCTCCTAGGACGGTCCCACAGGATACAGAGATCGCGCCAAGGACTCGGCGCAGCGCCGCGATCTCCGTGTCCTTGCGCGCATTCTCAGCTTCCTTGGCGGCGAGAAGGGTCTTGAGGTCCTCATTCTCCACTTCCTTGGCGGCGAGACGGTTCTCGAGGTCGTCGATCTCGCTGAAGGACGATCCAAGAAGATCTTCCTTGCGCTCATTCTCCTTCTCAAGGTCCTTGACAAGGTTGTTCTTGGTGTCGCGGCTCCGCTGGGCAGCAATCCGGTTGCGTTCCGCAACCTCGAGGGCCTTCTCGGGCGTGCGGTTGGCCTTGTTCCTGGTCGCCCTGGCCTTCTTGGAAATCGGGGAGTTCATTTTCGTGTCACGATCCCGTGTCCGTAATGCAGAATCGGTCCTCGATTCTTGGAGACCTTTATTTCCGAGGAAAGTCAACACGTGGTGGCGCTTCAAGTTGACAACACGTGTTGGCGTCGTTTTATTCGACCACCTCAGGAGCTAAATTTAGCACGCATTCGGGGAAAGGCTCGCAACCTGCGCGACGAAAGTAAATCTTGAGGTACAGGAGCAAAAAAGAGGACATTGCGAGGCTGTGATGCTCCGCGATGTGTAATTTGCACTACACCGTCCGAGAATCGAACTCGGGTCTCACCCGTGGCAGGGGTGTATTCTACCACTAGACCAACGGTGTTTGATGTTCGATGTGAGCAAAGTGAATTGCTCCTATTTCGATATTGCATCTGCTCCTTCAACCGTTTGTATACGAGACTTGTAGAGTTTTAAGCCACAGAGCAAGGAGTTTGTGTCGTCAGGTTCAAACTTGGGTCCAGCTGGGGAGGATTGCAGGCGGGATGTCGGTGGTGGAAGAAGAACTCTACGAAGAAGACTTTGACGACATCGTCTCAGATCATTCCGACGGCGGCAAGACCCCCCCGCCCGGCGAGCTCTCCTCGAACCCGAGCGATGCTCCTGCTTCTGTCGGGGAGGAAGGTGGCAAAGTCGCGGCAGCGGCGGCGGCAGATGTACTCGTCAGCACCACCTCGGCCGCGGCGGCTGGCGCAGAGGCTCCAGAGGCGGCCTCCGTGACGTCGCTGCCTGACAAGAAGCCAGTGCCCTCTCCATTTGATGATCTTGAGGAGGAGGACTTGGACTTGATGAATGTGGTCGAGTCGTCGACCGGGAAGCTGTTAGAAAAGCCGCTGGAGAGCGTACGTCCGCCTATGGTCCCCAAGGAAAATTCCGCCGGTACTGGAGGAGCGACAGCCGCCGGCTCCGCAGCAGGGGTGGAGCCATTCAAACCTCGCGTGGTATCCGTGAGCGATTTGGCTTCTGCGGACAAGGAAGAAGGAACGGTGCCAGAGCCTTTTGGGAAGATCTCCGCGGTGTCTGAGGGCAGTGAGATGTCAACGGAGACGCCCCCGCCCCAGTCACAAGTGGCGTCAAGGGAGGCTCCCGCGGTGACCTTCCGCCCGCGCCCGAGTCCCGCGACAGAGATCGGCTCGCCAGAGCCCCCGAGCGGGCTCGCCGGAGAGGCAAAAAGCGCATCACGGAGTTCTTCTGGTGCAGGCATCGCTGGCGACTCCCGGGGTCCGTCCCAGCTCCCCTCCACGAAAGGGCCGGTCACACCAGGCGTCTCGCGTAGCTCCTCACAGCCATCGCGTGGAGGCGTGCCGGGAGGTGCAGGTGGAGCGGGGGCTGGGACCGCGATCTTGGGCGGAGTCGGTTCGGTCCAGCGTCAGAGGTCCCTCCCAGCCACGCGACGAGCCTCTTGACCACCAAGCACCTGGCTTGCTCCTTCTCCTCAACACCCCGAGCTCTCGAAGCCGCCCACGCCCATGCGGCCAAGCGACCCGCCTGCGAGACAGATGGGCATGTGGGCGCGCGGCCGGATGTGCGGCTCTGAATGGAGGGCGCGGCGTCGGCTGGCAGGTCCTCTCCCGCCGTGACGCCGCAACGCCCGGGGCCGGGGACAGGGACGGGCCCGGCGCTGGGCAGCACCCCGTCGCCCCTCGATCTGCAAAAGGTGCTTGCCTGTCTGCCTGCCTGCCTGCACGCGATCAGGCTTGTGTGCTGGAAGGGGGGGGGGGGGGG